CATTTTTTTTAAAGGCACAATGTAGGTTACCTGGCCTTTTTCGTGCGTTCCTCTTTGATACTAATGGTGCCTGTGGCATCTCGTTGTATACACATGTGCTGTTGGAAATTACAACACTTTTAATAGACTTACGAATGCACACATTTAAATGCGTTGGCCATTATGAGAGGTGCAAAAAGTGGCCAATCAAATAGGGCTATGTAGATATTTGCTTAAAGATAGTTCCAAATCAAAATTATAGGTGCACTTTTCCATGCAGACAATAGTTTCCGAATAAAACCTATACGCTTATACATGACGAGGTACCATTTCATATGGAAAAGTGTGTTTTCCAAGCGTTTATCCCCGATTGTGTCTGGGTTCTGCCGAGGCCTAAAAGTTCATCCGATTTGAATCCGACTGAAAACGTGTGTCAAACAGCCAATCAAAGCCGGACAGGAGATCGTGAATATGTTACAACTCAAGTATACAGCGCTTATAATCCGGTCATGACAGGAATAATGTGAAAGTACGTTCGGAACCGAGTCGAAGCAGTGATTGCAGCCAGAGCTGGCAAGACGATGTATTAGCTTCATTTGAAAAACACCTTTTTTTAGTAAACGCATAGTGGCGTATGCCACTATTAAAAAGCAGAAAGAGGCAAAGCTACCTTCGATCAAAATTGACAATGTGTGGGCAGTATCTATGAGCAGCTTCCTCTGGTTAGTAACCAACTATATTTTTTTGCACAGAGGACGACTCTTTAAAATATGAAATTTCCGCTAAGCCGACGTTTGTGGCCTGTGGCTGTGAATTCATACATTAACCAACAAAGACCCATTCTTCATTAATCTAGAATCAGCTATTAAATTGTTAGTCATCGAAAGTTATTGTTGCGCAATGTCACCGCCAGGAAGCCACGTACCGCTACCGTAAAACGTTATGCCTGCTTATACTTGAAGCTGTTGACAACAATTGCAATCCAAAAATATTTAAAGTGACCTGTACAGGGACCTTACTTAGGGCCCGAGCTGTTCTATAAAACCTCCAGATCGATACTGTGGGTTTTGGAAAACTGCAGTATTAGGATTAATGCAAATATATGGTATCAACGATGCTGCTCTGCCTCTCCTAGACAAGTCGCAGGCATTTGCCTTCATGCCAGAATTTTTCAGTAGACTTATTAAGTAAGCACAATTATTCTTCGAACATTTCTGAAGTATCAGTATATATGGCGCTTTTAGGATCACTGGAGTTTGCAGAATCGCCAAAAATGTGCAATTTTTAATAATTTTTTTTTGCTCGAATCCTATATTCTTGAGTTGGCTAACGGCTACGTTTGCTGACGCATCTCGCCAAAAAAATGCAAACCGTGCTTCGAAGGGACCTTTGTATTTCTACAGCCTGCGCGATAAGGTCAATAGTCGAGTTTAGTTTGCTGACAACGCACGATATAAGCTTTTAGTTATTATTCAGACGCAATCTAGACGGGAATTAGATAAATCTGTTTTGAGCGCCTATAATATCGCATATCAAGAAGACAACGACATTGACTGAAATCAAAATACGAAACTGTAAACTTCGCGAATAGTTACAACCCAAACAGCACAAAGAAACCCATCGTTGCTGGAAGAGTGAGCCGATTTGTGTCTGCAGCTTTCTTTAGGTCTGTTTTAAGAAGCAGTCAAAATCACATAACCCTTGATCTGGGCAATATGGGGCTTGAGGACATCGTGCGCCTCTGTCCTCCTATACCCAAATTGTAATGGAAGCATAGCGATAGATCGTTGTCGTCGTCGAAAAACTACACTGGACGCCATCGATTGGCAAATTCCACACCCATAAGACTCTTCAGAAATTCGAGATATCTAATAGCATTAACCATCTTTATTTGGAACTACATATTGTGACGGAAAAAAATGACCCTGATATACGTTTGCAGATATGAGCATCAGGTTAGCTTTCTCTCCTATCCGACGCCATTCTGTTGCCTGATCTTTTCGTGGTAGGGCACACAAACTCGCCCATGTCTTGTTTGTGGCGACCGCGTGTTTCGTGAAGGTTTTTGCTGGTAATAATAGGATCAATTTTCTCAACGATACACGTGTTTCCATCTTAACTCAGTTGGTGAGGAACTCAATTTTTGCGCAAGGGACTCAGTGTTTACATTACGACTTGATAACACGTCCTCTAAGAAACTTCACATTGAGCCTACAAGAGGCGCATTGTTCAAACTCTATTTTATTCCAGAACTTTTGCGGTCGCAGCGACTCGTTGTTCCTTTGATGTCTTGAGGTACAGTTATCCGCCCTGTAGGCCTCAGCTTCCGAATTTTTTCCTTAAAGTAACTGCTACAAATCACTATTTCGCTAAAAACCTTTTTGACAAACTTTTCCACTCCTAAAACTCAATACCCGAGCATTTATTTTCAGCTTTAAACGATATATTTGTGTTTAAGCCTGTTGTTCTCAGACGGCATTCGATCAGGTCGCCAAATAGCCAAAAAAAAGAACTGTGTAAATATTAAGTATATTCGTTGGTCGGATGTGACAAGTTCGAACATTATTTCGAGATAATCTACATATTTCGCAGATCACTAAAAGTTACTATCAAAGATAGTAGTTGAAACAGTTGAATCAATTTAGAGAATAGAGAACTAGATTAATTATACTTGATACTCAGCTTCAAAGCCCTGGCTAAGCGCTACATAGTGTACCTACGACATATTTGCTTATTATATACTTGCGCTTGTCATCTATTGTTCAAGACATAACTGTTCATTACGCACCGACCGTAAGACGGTGACGTCTGAAAAAAGTCTTTCTACCGGCACGCGAAGACGAAAGTTTTCGCTAGCGGAACAAACATAGCGCTGCTCGTAGATTTTGACAACTTACCATTTATGCATAAATTGATATCTGTTACATCACATTCGAACTACAGCATCCCTCATATTGAATATCATCGTGCAATTAAAATAAGTATAGGACGCTATCTTTTGGTTTTCAGCCCTTCGTCATCCATACCTCAGTTTGTTTCTGGCAAATAAAAATTATCACTGTATGCAATAGCCATTTGAATTGCATTCGTGGTATTTTATATAATAGGATAAGAATAGGATAATAAGGAAATATTATTGTCCTAGCCAGCAAAATGGCCGACCTGAGAAGCCGCTTCATCATAACTGCCGAGTCTATCGATAAGTCCTTTTCCAATGTAGCACCTTACATCATTTTCGCCATTACTTGGTTCGGTACGATCACTAATTTGGCGGACGCGCTTCGAGTGCAGACCGATTGGCTTTAATATCCTAGGAAAACATTATAAACTAACACATTACTTGGCGTTCTAGGGTTTATTGAAGCCAAACAATGGCGGGCTCGTTACTAGATGTTAAGCGCAGCGTGGAACGCAGAGAATCTCGGCCCTTTTAGTATAAGGGCATATGCTAAGCAGGTGGGTGCAAAAGCTAGCTACCATGGCCTCAATAGTGACATGACGAGCTTCATGGAAGTATATATATATATTGACTCGACTTTGTGTTTTCATCAAAAATGCCTTACGGAGGTGGCAACTAATTTACGCTTCAAGTCTCAGAAGAATAAATGCTGACTGTCTGATTTGCTTACACATGTAATGAGTAAATTTTGTAAACATCGTTGACGTGCGTCTGCCTGTTTTTTTTCTAATTGTTTTGTATCTCGCCGTTGTTAGCTGCGTACTGACTTCTTCTGGTTTGCTTCCCTGCGCTGTCTTCGGTGGCTTTCGCAATTTTACGGATCAGAGGTGCGCTCCTCTATCCGACAACTGAAAAAGCGGTTTTTTCAAAGTACCAATAACAACAGGATTACTGACAGCAATAACATAAGTATGTTCTGATCACTTCAACAGATATATATATTTTGTGGGCAGTGGTTTTTTGAACATTACGACTAAGGCGTGGTACTAACGTTTAACGTAAAAGCACCCCCCTAGTCTCGCCCTGGTACAGAATCTCCCTTATGAACACGAGTTTCTGTGCTTATAGTCTTCGCATCATCATTCTGGGGAAAAATTATACTACACTGTTGCTGAAATTGGTTAATTAAATAAGCAGATGCTAGTGTCAGACTAGTCCCCCTTCGTTTAACGATAAAACAGTGGCGTGAGAACACATAGCACTATCTTAAAAATGTTTTTTCGGCTATTCAAATGTTTCTTAGTAACTCTGATTTCCTGCGCAGCCTCTCTTCAAGTAGAAGCAAAGAGACAAAAAGGATCGATATCTGTCCTACGAGCGATAAATGACAAACCTTTTTTTTTTTTTTATTTTTTTTAAGGGCAAATGCATTATGCAGACCGGGCATAGGCAGGCCAAGACTGCTCTAAGTCCGGTACTGTGGGACTCTCACCCACTAAACCCTGGACCCCTTTATCCGCTTGGGCCATGGTTCGGTATATGTTTGATATTACTTCGAAATAAATGACAAACCTGGTCATTTCATGTTAGCATTACTAATAGACCTAAACAACATTTTAGCCAAATCTCTCTTTATGTTTTGTTTCTGATGTACCGAAATGGACGTCACCGCTTCGCACGGCGGATCTGGACTTGCCCAAGCCAGCTTACTTTCTGGTCAACTTCGGAAATACTTCTATTGCGACCTATTTCAAGATACGCTGTTAACGTCGAATATATATATGGCACTCCCCACGCACGGAATAGACTAAAAATGCTGGCTAACGATTAGATATTAGTTATTTTGTAATGATTATATAATTGGTTTGTAATAATTATAATTGGTATATATATCTTCAGCAAAGTAGAAAACATGCCGCTTTAGAATCAATGAATTTATTTTAATGATGTTTATAATGGCGCCAGTTCTCTCCCTCCAAAAAGGATCCAAAAAGAAAGCCTCTAGCAAAAAGAAGAAAAGATTATTTACTTTTGCATTTGCCCACTTATTTCGTTCATAATCATGTGTACGTACGTGTCTACAATTGGTACTTGTGCCAGAATAGAACGGTATTTCATTATCTTCTTTTTTTTTTTTATCTATAGGCTAGCTTTGCGGGCTTTTACCACCGCATATCGGCTCATAGATACCAATGGGAGAACAAGGATTTGAATCCTTTTCGCCCCATTGTACAACACTTTCCTGACAAAGTATTCTTCATTATCCTCGTTATCAGCGTTGCTATTCTCAATTGCGGTTTTTCTTTGTGTACTTGTTTCTTCGTTGCATTCGCGTTTACGTATTGATGTATCTGCCAGTACGACTACAACGCTGAAAAGTCACACAGTTGTATCGGAAACAGCACTGCTGGGTCATCGGGTTTGTTGTTGGGCATCTGTATTTCGTATATTCTGACCAGTTCCTCAATTGCCAAGTCGAGAGGGATTAGCAAGCCGTCAACGTCATTATGTATATATGTTTTATTACGTATTATTATTATTTATTATTTTTTACGTTGAAAGAAGGCGAGTGAAAGGTTGGATGAAGTAAATCTCCGCCGCTGACTGTTTGAACAACCATTTAATTAGTGACGTATTTACATCGAGAGAGTTAGACTATGTTTCAAATGGCCAATAGTCAAAAAAGTCGTTTTCAAATATTTGTGGGTTTTGACCCTCGTTCAGTGAGAGGCTACTTACCATATAACGGTAAGCAGAATATTGCCCGCCGATCTGCTACCACTTCTAGGACTACCACCATCATTATATAGGAGTGGTCAATTGTTCTCTTTTAACATATCTTTTTTGCTGACACCGCTCCTTTTTAGTAACATATATATATAAGATACTTTTTGCTGTTCAGTATATAACCATTTCATTTAACGTAACAAGCTAAGCACGGCCTAGGGACAAGATTCTTAGAGGAAGCGCGCATTTCGGGGAATTGATTTCGATCGCTGAACGGCGGTGTGATGCTCAAGCTCTCGATCTTTATTCTTTTTATAACGGTCGTTTTTACCGCCTCCATTCTTGGTTTCTTGTTTGGTGAATCTAAAACGATATAGAAAACGTACGCAGATGAAAGTTGTTACAAACTTGTTATTTTAACCGTTCGAAACTTGTACGGCGTACAATGTTGAAACTAGTCTGTCTGATTGCCTAATGGTGTGTGCTTTACGCATGATCTCGTCGTCTCATTCATCAGCAGACTATGTTAACTTAAGCTAACGTACAGCCTTAGCAAACATTTTCGCAAATGAGAAACGATGACGAATCATTCAATAACTACTATAGCAAAATGCCTCGATCTAAAAAAACGAACCAAGCAAGAATAACAGTCCTATAACATAAAGGTCCCCTTTAGATTACCGTGACTTGTGTTCCTTTCGGCCCAGAGTGGCGCAGGAGCCATGCTGCGCGCCGTTGTAATGGGGACTATTGCGTCCTTCTGGCGACTGTTGTTGGAGAAGCGAATTACCCCGGTTGACGGCGGCATCGGGAGGCGCCTTGGCCCTTTGAACACCAGGAATATACATTATGATTGGCTCTCTTACACCCGCCGCCTCGGACGCTGTTACTGATCCGCAAGATGAAGCGCCGCTGTTAAAAGCCTCACCTGCCGTATACAAACGAAATGGTACGATGAAGAACCGAGGTCGACCGAGCCGATTTTAGCGACATTGCTCGGTAGTACTTGCTATACGATAGCTTACGAAGCTAATAAAAGCATTGAGATGCTTGATAATACTACATATGAGTTTATTAGTACTCATTAAATGTTAGTTGTGACAATGTTTAACAAATGCGATATTTCCTAGCATTTTACAGGTGTTAATAAACAAAATGCTGCATGTATAATTTAGTCATTTTCCATAATTCGATTGATATAATTACTAAGCAATCGACAAAACCGTTTACTACGTAAAACTGGGGATATGGGGATCATCATTACAATGGGCTATCCTTTTTCCTAGTGATACGGTCCTATTGATATTAAAAATAGTGAATAAGGGTACTGCTATGGCCTATCTGGCAATAACGCACGTGACGATGCTTAACTGAAAATTGAATTAGACCATTAAACCGTGATCTGCAAAATAGTTGAACTAGATAGAGTTCATTGTATGTATTGAAATGGACAAAGTCTTTCTACTAAACAGGCTATTTTCTATAGCATTTGATACTGCTTTTCGCACGTGTGTCTGTCGTAATAGAATCAATTACCTCGTGTGTTTCTGTGGTGAAAGGCCGCGGCGAGTCCTCCTCGACGGGGCCCTTGTGAGAAATGCGAAGGGTGATCTTCATCAATTGATGAAGGTGCGTCAGAGTAAGCCTTCCGTGCCGCCTGAGCAAGTGGCGTCTGTGTCGAAGAAATTGGACCGGTTGCTGTACTGCTGCCATCTATGGACCTCTTCGATTTTGGGACTCGTCCTGTTTAAATTGTTGGAGGGCATTTCTTAATCGTGAATGGCTATACAGTACCATGTAGAGATTTTAGCCTAATGTATGTATAATGCCGGAACAACTACATCCCTCGTATGGCTGTACAAACAAATTCCATTATACAGACGAACAAACCTTCAACAATGAAATGCTCCCTTCACAACAAGTAACATTTTGCTAGTTCCTTTAGCATACATTGTATTAAATCAAACGTTGTATAAAGTCGCGGTATTTAAAATTTAGATATAGTGCCGATTCATACGGAAAGCTGCTGCCGAGTAGTTTCATTACCTAAGCTAAGGGTCCAGGAGTATGTGTGAGGCGGTTTAGGAGCAGGACCATATTCGTCCTCATAGGTCGGGTAATGAGAGCGGCCATAGGCAGGACTAAGGTCCAGCAAAGAATTGTAATGTTGCGTGCGAACTCCCCTTGGATTGGCCAAGCTACGCGGGGCCATAGTTTGACGCAGCATGCTCTGGCTACGATCTCCAGACACGCCCTACAAGCAGAAAGGACACTGGAGTGAGAACCAGACAACTTCATTTTACTTCGATTTAATATGAACAAGCATGGCCAATAAGCTAGGTATTACATGTAAATAAGATTCATTTCATAGCAATATTGTTATTCGATATACAACATTTTGCGAGTTTGATTAAGTTATCTATAATAATAAATTATAACGAGCGGATACAGGTGTTTTTCTTGCTGCTGTAGTATTTTGATTCATTGCATTACTTCGTAGGATCCTCGCGATCGTTTAAAAAGTTAGGGTTGAACTGAGCTCGACTTATGTTTTTTTTATAATCTAAAGCCCATTAACTCGCTGACTGTTCGCGTGACAAAGCTGTTCTCCCTAAACGGAAGCTGTGTCAGTATATAACAAAAAAAAAAAAAACAATACGTCTCACTTGAATTCGACCAGTTTTTTTTTTTTATATTACTCTTCGCTTTTCTCCGCCTGTGGTCTCGGTCAAAATTTATGTGATCGAAATCGATTTCAATAGAAGTATTATGAAAAATCTGCGAAATTGATTACTTTATAAAAACTATTTGCCAATACTGGCCGAAACGCCTGCTGGTGTCAATCTTTTGTTGTTTGTTGTTATCACATGTGAGAAAAATAAAAATGAGAACTTCTTTCGGTAAAATAACAATTACAAAATGTTATTATTTATGCTTTCTTTTACACAGAAGATCCTTGTGTTTAGCAAACGGGAATATCTCTCGATTGTCATTGTTTCGAATGCACAGCTCGAACGCTGATAGGCACGATAAAAACATAATATAACAACATTTTCTTACATTTTATAAACATTGAAATCCTGCAGCGTACCCTTCTTTGCAAGTAAACTAGTTGCTCAAATCCCTCTCACACTGTAAAATTTCATAGCTTTTTACTTGTACGCATTGAGTCTGTTTTTTTTTGTATTTATTTAATTTAAAAGCGAAAGATTTATAGAAATTTAAAAAAAATAGACAATAACCTGTGAGGACGTTGATGAAGAGTCAGACTCCTGAGTGGTCTTGCTCTTTTTGCTTTTTACCTTCTTCTTCGTGCCGATGTTGAAGCCAAAGCTCCGACTGGACGTCTTCACGTGCGACTGTCGACAGAAAGTACTTACTGCTAACATAACGCTTCACAGTTCATCTTGTATTTATCTTTCCAGTACAACATATATCGGTAACTTACACGACTATGTTCGAATGAACTTAAGCATTAGTCCGACTATCATATAAGCTACCTAGTATTCAGGTCCCTTTGGCATTCGCAGAACTTTTCAACACCAATAACCTCGCTAAAGGTATAGCGTATCACTTTGTCACCTATGTCCACTTGCCAACGGAGGATTACGAGGGCAAATATTTCTCCATAGGTGATTCTAAAAGCCCCAGTCGTACTGAGAGTAACAGGCACTCACATTTTATTGGGGTCGAAGAAAGGGGTCACTCACCTGAGGCGTTCGAGATCTGCTGGGCGCGCTTTCGGCATCCGACAGACCAAAATCTGACTGGTGGATATTACCGTGCTCCAGGTCGGAATATCGATTTACGGGACTGTGTAGTGGCGAACTCATTGAGGTATGTTCGTAGCCGAGTCCCATCGGTGTACAGAGAGAGTTGTCCCCGTAGCGAGAGGGGGGACTGCCTGATCGATAGCGTCTCCACTGCGGAGACTGCGAATCGCAATGGTTGGAACTATGATCACGCATGTCGTGACCCGAGCCCCAACCGGGCGAGGCAGATGAGTTCACCAATTGCGAATGTGATGACCAGCGTTGAGGCAGCGGCATTGAGCTTGTGGGCGGCGGGGGAGGCGGAGGCGGACTGGAGTTTGTCTTCTTTAGAGCTTTGTTTACCTGGCTATAAAGCGGGGCGTAGATACGTGGTGGCAGTTCTTCAACGGGTGTGAGGTTCCCCGGTTTTATCTATGAGAACAGGCGAAAAAGCAAAAGTAATCGAAATAAATCGATAAATAAAGCAAAATTAGTAAGTAATGAGACAAGTTCGAAAAATGTTCCTTGGTACTCTGGCGAACTTGACGTCCTAGCAAATTAATTTTTCAATATTTACAATTACTAACGTCAACCAAGGTTATTAAATCTAAATCCCGCGTTAAAGACCTTTAGAAATATATTTACCCCTATGCTAAAATATGATGACAGTGATAATCCGAGAGGTATAGGGTTGAATACCATATGTATGCGTACGAAAAGCTTCCGTGAACCGATTTGCTTTCTACAAATTGGTGGAGGTTTAATATATCTCATTTGGAACACATTGTCTTCTCGGCTATATTACCTGGTTAACTTGAACGGCGACGTCCTTCATGGGCGGAGGAGGATGTTGCACTTGGGATGATGGCGGTATATTAAGAGCCGATGACGGCTTATTTCTCAATGGCCTCTGGGGCGGCATACTATCAGAGTATAAAGAATCATCGCTTGACGGACCTCCAAGATGACCCCCGTCTTCAAAAGGCGGCACCCAACGGAACTCGTGACGAAGTTCGGAGGGGTCTCTTTGGCCTGTTGACGAAAGGAGTGGTTCTCGCTGATCTCGTGGAGTTGTTGGCGAGTGGTTAAGGGTTACCGTGGAGATAAAAGGGCCAGGTGAAGTTGAACGAATAGGTGACGCCGCAAGACTAATACCTAAGAGGCAATATTGATTGCATTACATATATAGTACATTAATATATATCGATATGTTTAACGACTTTCCGTCTACCAAGGATACTATAATTATCATGCTATATAAAGAGTAGCTTTAATAAGCTCGCATTCGTTCAGCTGCATCCCAAGTTATAACATGCGTTTTGAAGATTCGAATCAATTTTAAAAAGCAAATTATATAAACTTTACGGTGTACAATTTTTTTAAATTTTACCTATTTATCAAGATTCTCAGCTCCACAAACTTGGTCATTGCAGAGAAGGCCATTGATGTCTTTCACTACCCTTTGATACACACATTTCGTTTTTTTATTAAAGCCAATATGGTTATGTTTGTTAGTTGTAGTAACAAAAAATTGGACAAATGTATTCGTCTCCTTTTCCTTGTCGCGTATTTTCGTTTGGCTTATTTTTGGCTAAATCATCTGCTGCCTGCACTTTGTTCGGCATCCTCTCTTAGGATGTAAAACAGATCTATAAATATCTACATGCATTATTGGGTCAACACACACACATATATATATATATATATATATATATACATGCGTGTGCTGGAAGGCCATTTTCAACGGTAATTGTACGTGAAACTGTACTAGTAAACGTAGGCTTGTTAACGAGGAGCTCAGATACGCCGCGTACAAAAACAGAATTTCGGGAGATAACAGGCTAACAATCTCCAAAATGCAAGAGCTCGAAACGACCAACAAATTTAAATCGTAGAAAAAAGGGCACTAGAACACTCCAAAAAATCTAAACTCTTCTGGACGACCCAATCAGCAATAGATAGCCTCGCTTATTAATTTTTGCTTCTAAAATCTTCATAGATCAAAAATGAGCTATAAACTTGATTGATTATCCTTATCTAGCTCGAAAAAAGAAAACGCACACAATGTTATAATAATGTGGATCGTCGATCTTTTTCGAACGTTTTTTTTTTTTATTTTGATAGATTTCGTTTGGCATCGGAAAAATCAAATATTAATGATTTTTCATTCATGTCCGGGAATAATGCATTAAAAAGAAGAAGGACTTTCATCTGATATCAACAGTATCTCGTGAGCGCATGCTCGATACGACAAACGGCCCGCCAAGGTCTTAATTTGAATGGATCGCTTTCTATATATATATATATATATATATATATATATATATATATATATTCAATGTTATTTAAAGAATATTATTCGGAGTAATAACCACAGGTCAGTTAAAGTATTTTTCATCGTCATGTTTTCACTGATTCGTAAATAAAAATTATTTCCATTAGGTGCGTTGCAATGGTTCGTATCTTTGTGAAAGGTATTCCATGTGCACTCTTACCGCTGTCCCTATTGAGGAACGAGCTCCCGCTCTGAAACGATGAATTCTCTTTGTCGCTGGTATTCACTGATGAATCGGTATGGGGACTGGTTGATTGAAAATTGAGTGGATTATTAAACGTGACGTATTCGTAGGGTCGTGGTTCGTATGTAGTCGTAGTGACTGTTCGTTTAATCGAGGTTGGCCCATGATGGGTCGTCGTCGTCGTCGATGCGATTGTGGGTGATTTTGCAATTCCGGGCGGCGCCGATGGAGATGCTGACGGTCGTGGGGCCGGCGAATTGCTCCGGGTAACCGAAGTGCGTGAAAGAGGCATCGACGGAACGGGCATGGAAGCTGACTGAAGGTCATGCAGACCTTTTTTGGGACCTATGGACACGTATCGCATGATAGCAGGACCACATGCCTTTATATGCCAGAAAAATGTGACGGCAAAAAAAAATTAATGCAAACAATATATCTTCTTGAAAGTTGTATATTTTTTTTTAATCTAAAAACTCATCATTAACATCCTCTGGTGCTATCTTAGCAGAATTCAAGGAATATCTACCTGTGGTTTCTTGGTCTTCCCTTAGTTTCTGTTTATTGACAGCCGCCTGCCGGTTGAAGAGGTTGACGATCTTTTTAACGTGGTTCCGCCGTACCTGAGGTGATTCTGAGCCTGCTTGCTTCTTACCGACAAATTTTCGCGATAGCAGCGGCGAGCTGTGCTTGACCTGTTACAAAAACACACAAGCGCATGTACAAATACACTTATATAACTTAATTAACTGTAGTGACTGCTTTTGTAGAGCGATACCAAAACGTCGCATTCAATAGAGCTATCGTAAAGTGTGCAATATCAAACTTGAAGTTCCAGTTCTTGCAGGTGAAGTTTACAAATAACTGATGAACCATAATATAATACATGTCATATCATGTAGCCGCTACTTTGCGACGCTGTCAAAATCCACATCATATACCAGCCTTATATTTGATGACTGGTGATGAATTATCGTCGGATTTTCGTACTGAATGGCTCCTCCAGACGTTGCTCCAGAACTTCTTGTTACCGCCTTTGTTTGGGTGCTCCAGAGTCTGTGACGTATAGTTCTGCGATTGCGGGGGCAGATGATGGGGCGACGAGGCGTACGGAATGCCGCCACCGTTTGCGTTCGTGTTGCTGTAATCGATCTCGTTCAGACCGCTCGAGATCGGCGAATGGCGACCGTTCAGAGACGTTAACCTGTTTGGAGGGGATGTTTATTACAAAGTTTTCGCCAGTTCGTACATACATATATATATATATATATATATATATATATATACTCGAATAATTATCAACTACGTATTTGTTAACAAACTTTACCCAACAAGTAAAAATTGGTCTGTTTGTCAGATGTTCCATAGTAGTTTTAATGCACCGATATCGATAACTGTAGATAGTACTTATTAACGATTATAAACATACGAGAAATAGAGTGAAAGATAATTATCACCGTAAATTTAGAAGATCTGGGCAATAAGCCTAACACTCACGAATCGAATTTCGAGAACGAATGTGAGGTCCGTCGCGGATACTGCACTCGCACGTTATTATTAAACGATACGCTCTTGCCTTTGTTGTTGTTGTTATTGTTGTGATTATCGTTGGGACCACCGTTTGCGGGCGAGCGCGGCAGTGAGTCGTCGCTGCGGGCTGAGCCCGAGCTAACCGAACGAAGCGAGTCACTCCTCCTCAGGCGCCCGGCGGAGGAGGGAGACACGGTCCTGAAAATGGGCACATGGGGCACGGTGGGATCGCTACAAATTTTGCTTTTGCACCCAACGCTGTACTGGTGAAATTTATATTAAAAATCATAAACACGTTCGTTTAAAAAAAGCTCATCTATAGCAATCTGAACTTTAGATTTCGTATAAAATAATACCTGTTCACACCTCGTAGGGGCATCGCTGAGCGAGGAAGTTCGTAGGCGTTTGTTGGGCGTAAAGCCTGTAGCTGAAGTTAGAATTCCACAATCGAGCGAATACGAAACGCGCAGCTAGAAAAATTAAATGATACTTGAACCAGTGGGTGAAGCTTATAGGAGCGGCTCGTGCCGCAGGCGACACCTCACTCGGTCACACTGCCCGCAGCTGCGAGGAAAACAGCTTTTACCCCCAACTTCGTCAGCAAAATCTAAAATAGAACTAAACAGATTTACAGACATTGTTGCGTTATAGGATCGCTGTTGGCATCAATTAGAAAATAGTATACAAACAGATTGAAACAACCGGTAGTTGAAACAAATTCGAATTCGACATTCTGTTAGTGAACATTGGCATCCTCAATTTCCGTAGCGAAGTTAACAAAGCGGGTACAAAAGTTCAACGATTTGTTCAATTTGTGGAGACACCTTGGTTAGTATTATAATAGCCTTTTTCGGTTTGAGGCTCGAGTGCCATGTCAGCTTTGGATACTTCAGTGTTCTCTCTAAAGCAATGCCAACCCCGCTTCCCCCCTCGTCCATTTGAGGTATAGCCACAAGTTGTAGTAGCGCACGAATTTCCTATGGCTCCTTCTAGGTACACTGAATAGGAAACCCGATGAGGTGTATGTAGCATATGGTCCGTATCTCACACGACTTGCACCTCGTCACAGAAGATCGCTGTCTTCAGTAAGCGAATGACCACATTGAAAGTTCGTGATATTGCTTCTTGCACCCATAAACACAATTCGCTTACTAAACACTTTTCATAGACCTAGTTAAACGAATATGTTAGAGCCCTACTACACAAACTATATAAAGTATAAAGACATAACAAGCACTTTTGCACCGCATAAGGCGATTTTCATTACTAGAATAGAGCTATAGGTATAATCTTAAATACTGTATACCAGTACTTAAATACTGCAGTTACCAATTTTCAAATTCAAAAAATGTCTATTTAGAAAAGCGTCACTGAAAATATCTATTTGAAAAATTTATCACGTATTCCACGCTTTGCCTTATAAAAACACGTATTTCAGTTTGACGAGGTTCTAACAAGTGTATATGGTCGATTAAATCGGCGATATCAGAAATTTTCTCTGAAGCAATTCTCGAAATCTGAAAATTGCCCTAGTCGTATTTGCCTTACATAATGTTCGCACAGTTGACAGCAGAATTTTTAACTTGAATAAATTTTTTTGCGTCGATCCGTCTGTAAGTTCAATTGCGAAGTTCAAATGTCATCTCAAATCGATGACCTTTTGGCCTTTGTAATTACTGCATTTTCGTTGCTTCACTTTTATAACAATTCCGTGTTTTACGCCCGGAACTTGATTCGTTCGAAGACAAAAAAAAAAAAGCAGCCCACAACTGAGTTCGAACCTAGACACAATGTGTCCCTGAGCTTTGCAGGCAAACGCATTTCCCATATCGTAAGCGAAAGATTCCTATGGTAACAGATACAGTCAAACGCCTGTCCGAATCCATCAGTCATTTAAAACACGTGGGGTTACTGTATTTATTTCTGCTACACTATAAGCCAAGGGCATTTCATGGTCCCACGTGGCGGCTGAATCCCTTATTTGATAACATTGTTTCGTAACTAAAAATATCCCTTGCTGAAAACGTCAACGGAAAAGGCAACGAAATGCACATACTACCCCTATATTTTTCCCACTGCAATAATTAGTTTCAGTATCGTCTTCTTCAACATGTGAAAGCAACACGACCATATCCAAGCTTCATTTATGACACACGTGTATACAATTTCTACATTTTACGGGAACTACCTTTATTATTAAAGTTCGCTGCAACGCGTCATTGTTGCGACAGATTGATTATATACCAATACTGCTTGAAAATCCTGGAGACGAGTTATTTCGACACAAGGGAAGCAAAAAAGGAAGCTAGTCTCGTTCGACATTAATCATTGTTGATTTTTTTCGCATTCTTTTGACACTTCACAGGGTTTGAATCGCTTCACTAGGCTTCAGCATCTACCGTAAAACTGCAGCTACTGTGAACTGCAGCTATCGCTGTGGCTGCGAAGAAAAAACCCATAAGCATCCCCATACTAGACTATATGTGCCTGCAGGTCCCCTCTCCGCAGCCTCTTTGCGCCTTCGGGTTCTAAGATGTAGGATGTCTCGGAGAAAGCCTTGAGACAAGGTTCTGATGTCCTATCGTTTTTCAAACGAAAATGAAAACCTCTGGCGGCCATTTGTCCTGCACGACGCTTTATCAATATGTTGGTTTTTCTGACGTTGTCCTTGTCCACATTGTTATCCTTGAACTGATCGCTACGATTGTCGCTACTGATGCCACTTTACGTAGGCGCTTCTCGAGGTCGTCTCGGTCTATGTCACATCTGTGTCGAGCTGACAGGGCCGAACCGCATGCCGGCCGTTAAACAAGCGTATACGCCAGTCTGCAGGCTGATCTGTCGCCGTTGTCGCCCTTCGCCGGCGTGTGTGATGCGCGATATCATCAAAATCACAAGCGTGGTGCGGTGATAATGGAACCAGAGTTATGGGCCGAAGAACCCAATAAGCTGTAGTAGTAAACATTATTACGTTGTAGGAGTATAGTAGGAGTAATTCGGTGGAAAATACGCTTAGAGACGCTGTCGAAGTAGCAGAAGCGGCCACAATCAGTCGGCAGCGAGCGAAAGCAGACCAATGAAGTGGCGACGAATCCAATCCTGCGGTTAATGCGATGGTGAACATGGCACACCACCGCCATGGGGTTACAAGTATCTCTTGCTTCTGACTAATAATGGAATCGATAAGAAGATGCGTACTTTCAATGCGCGTCTTCTTTTTTCTTCATTTGATTTGAGATATATTGTATATGCGACGTTTTTGACAAATCGTCAGTTACATGTCGAAACTGATTAACTCTGCCCTTTCGAACAGAACGAATATTAATGATCGTCAATAGAGCACCTATTCAAAACCGACTGGTATACGAAAAATTTGCTCTCGTTGTTGATCGATTTGTCCTTTTTTAGATTTTATACGAAGTATAAATAACATGTGATACTAGTATAGGTACAATATGTGGCTTCACGTTATACAGATATGTATCAACGCGTTTTATCGGAGATAATTAGATTTTGTTTTTTTGTATATGGGCTCTATTTGACAGATTTAGAGCCATTTTTATTTGATAGATTCGACAGCTAGAAGCGAGCAGTTGTTATGTCCTAGTTTTCAGTTAGGCATATTGAAACTACCCAGTATTTAGTGTAGATATTGTCTGTAGCCTGATAAAGGGAATTGGTTATTCTAAATGAGGATGCGCTTCACGTATAATCTGCATGGTAGAATGAATCGTGCCGTGCCGTGCCGTGCCTTTACTGAGAAGCAAATCAAAACTAGGTGACTGCGTCCATTTGGCCGTTTATTCACGAATGTGACGCTGGCTATCTACGCCATAAACCTGGCAAAAAATAACGGTCATGTAAACCAGTTAGTGCCTTTTGAACGACACAGTCGTCGGCTAATGAGGTTTGTGAAGGCGTCGTCTTTTACGCTGCTCCTTTCGTATCTTCGGCGACGCGATCGGTGTCATAATAGCAGGAACGTCGTAGAACGGTAAAACTAGTGAAAAGGTTTGTGCAGTGTGTGTTGTGTCACATAAATTTGGGCAGATGGGGCAAAAACTACGCTACTGAAACAATAGCTGTACAAGGGCGTGAGTATAGGCTTTCGGCTATTGTGTCCCAGCTTTGCGTACGCTATTATAGCGTCATGCGCCATCTAAAAATCATTTGGAGTATCGTATGCCATCGATTTCTGTACTCAGCGTTACCTTCAATCGCGATTTTTAGAAAGTTGAAGGACTCCCTAATTATAAAGTTGTAATATGCTACACTGAAGTTTATTCAGCTCTTATTATAATCCAGCATAAATTCTTTCTGTGTATGTGTGCGTCTTCATGGAAACGAATGCCGCCATCTATAGGTATATATGTATAATGGTATAATGTGATACTATACACACTCATTTTTGTGGATAACGTGGCTGCTTTTGTTGATAACCGTATAATAGTCCTCGAGGAATAATCTGGCTTAGCTGGGCCAGATGGATCGGAAGAAAACCGCGCATCCAGCTGACCGAAGATCAAAACAAAAAAGAGATTTGAATGATACTCAGTCGACAGTCATACTGGAGCAGACACCGTAACGAAACAGAAATAGTGGCTAAAATATAGAAGAGGTTTCAAGGGCCTTTGCGTTCTTCTTAGCCTGCACCTTTACGTGCGTCGAAGCGTGCACGATCGTGCCTACAGACTGGAGGACACTTATGGAAACGATTGCTCGCAGCCATATTGATTGAAGTGCTCCCGATTGCGGTTGCCGATGCAGCAAAAGTCAATGGCAGAATCAAAGAACAAAGCCACCCTCATAATTGTCATTCCTAATAGCCCCTCATTATTTCACAAGGCTTAAATCACTACCCACTTGTTTTTTCGCGAAATAAGAAGGATACTGCTACACTCGATGACGGTGGATTACACGCGCAGACAAGTATAGACGAAGACTTCACTTTAAAGCGGTACGCGTAGTTTCCGTGCTAATACTAGCACATATATTACAGTAACTGGGATGAAAAGTTGAACACTGATCAGTCTTAGTGCAACTCAATCGATTTGGTAGTTTCGGTCCACGAGAAATCGACAGCAGAGGACTAAGCAAAAAGTTAAGTGCAAAACTTTACTTGGAAAAAAAAGTGCAACGATTGCAGTCATCTGCTTGCATTCCCGTAATGTTTTCATGCCCAGTACGTTCTGCTGCTTCAGCCCCAACTGGCCCCCAAAGGCCAGTACGTGTCTCTATACACAGTACACAACAAGGAGTTGTTTCTGCGTAATAACACTTTACCGCATGATTATGTCAAGCAAACAGCCTGCTCAGCGTTCAATGTCACCAAAGACGTCACGAATGTAATCTACGGTAATCCCATTGTTGTCGGCAGCGCGGGCTAGAGGAAAAGGGCACACTTTGCTATATATATGTTTATGTCTGTGTCGATCTCGATGACAGCGACAGTGCGAGGATGCTGTCTCCGACGGCCTTCCCGCTAACCATACAAATCTGATAGCGTATTAGCAAGATGAGATTTGTGAATATCTATACAGCAGACTGATGTATATATATAAAACTCACAAATATGTAGGTGGTTGCATGCGGAAGTATTGATATAACGAACTGATAGT